AAGAGACATTTATCTCCTGGACCCTATAGGCACGTATAGCTTGAGGCTTACTGCAAATATTCCTGTGTGTTTAGACATGCGTGTCGGACAGCTTTGGCTCATGTGCGGAGAAGCCAACGTTGTGTTTGACTGTTCACTAAAATCACATTTGCGCACACTTGTTTAAAGTGTGTGTTTTCACATGTGTTTGTAGGTGTGTATATGTGTGTGGTTTTTTTTTTTTACTGGCGCTTATGCAACCAAAGTAGCCTGAGCTCTTTAACCTTGTCAAAACAGATAAGAGAGAAGATCCTGAAAGGAAAAAAAAAAGAGTTTGTTTTCAATCTGTCCAACACAAAAAACATCACGATTAATTTTAGTGTGCTTTTTAACTCTGATTCTGAGACCCCTAGCAATGTGTGTTAAACTTAGCTGCAAGCATGACTTTTTATATATCAAACAAAAACAATAATGACCTCTTAGGTGGTTCAAGATACGTTGCATTTTATAATTTGGAGATTTTTTTTTTTTTTTAATAAAAAATCAGGTCGGTTCTGTGATGCAAGACGACTTGGACAAACACGAGCGGACGTCATGTGCTTTAAGAAGATCTCCGCCTTGGATTCCGTCGCCCCTGGGCTCACATGTGAGCCCATGAGACTCCAGGTGAGAGAACGGCCCGGCCTGCCCGCCTGCGCAGGGCACGAGTCCCGGGTTAAGGCGGGCTGCAGGAACAGAAGGTGGTGTCTGGGTGCCGTCTGAGGTTTTATTAGAAGCTCCTGTGTGTCTGCGCCAAGAAGCCTGAGAATATCCTGTTTGCTAATGTGCTTGCTTGGATCTCCATATGTGTGTAGCCTTTGACAAAGCATGGCCATGTGGGCTCCAGCTGTATTTTTTTCCCCCCCGTTTCTCAACATGTGCTGGAAATATGTATTAGTGTTGCATTCACAGCAAACGCATAAAGTTTGTATTCTAACTTCTTATGGGTCTTTTTTTTTTTTTTTTTACTTAATAAATATTTTTGATTAGCTAATTAGTTGGAGAGAGATGCTGTTAAAGAGGGGGGAAAAAATCTCTAGATGCCCTTTAAATAATCCTTATGCTAAATTTTGTCTATTTTTATTTAAAATAGAGAAACAATAATACAAAAATAATCATACATACATTATAGTTCTAATAATTTTATATATGCTTTTTCTAGAGTCACATGGATTGTAATATATAAAGATAAGCAAAAACATTTAATGTGTGGTTAATTAGTAATGGTACCCTTTAAAGAATTGTTAGCAACACTTTATAAGTTTTTTATTATTTGGCTTTGCTCGTTGGGATTCACAGCATAGTTTGACCAGCGTAACACAAACATTTAGCACAGTAATTAGCTGATACATTGTCGACCTCTTAAAGGCACACATTTCATCTTTAACTCACTTTCTGTACAATCCTAGCTTCATGAGCTCTACGTCGCCCTCTGTTTTTGCCTTACGAACTTCTTTATTTCTCTGTGATGTAGATTCAATAAGTTGTCTTTAAAATTAATACAAAAAATCTGAGATTTTGGTTGCAGTTGTTGAAGATTCGCCAGTTTCACATCATGAGATTTTTTTCGTTCCTTCACGTCCCAAAGATTGAACTGCTGCCATGACCCTGGCATGTGTCAACAACAAACTGGACAGGTGTACCTAACGAAGTTTACCTTCTTTACTTTGAAAAAAAATGAGACTGAACATGATTTAGAGACATGTCTTACAGAAAACTTAGTTGTATTTTTGGTAAAGCTTGATAATATCTTTGTTGGCATCCACAGATTCATGACATTGTGGAAGATCTGCAGCAAAACCTGTCAGTTTACTTTAAATTTACCTCCCAGTGGAACATTTGAATAAATCCAGGAGTCTATGCATTCTGAAGAGATGACATTTTTTCTACTGGGATCAGTTGAAATGTGTATGACTGCACTGAAATGATCTTTTTTATAAAGTGCCTTGCTGTGACGCTCGTTGTGAATTGACACTATATGTAAATAAACTGAATTGAATTTGAATCTTTCAAAAGAGAAAAAAGCTTTCCCTTTATGTTTTCCCTTTCTCAGATCTAATCTGATTGGTGATCCGATTAGTCAAAAATGCAGAAAGCAAAAGAACTGTATTCATCTGGCAGCCAAACCCGACTGATCCATGTGCCGATTTCTTTTGGGGTTTTTTGGTCTCTGGTTTAAAATCCCTACTGGATATTCTTTAATCGTCTGCATGGCTGCTCAAAAAACTCAAACACATATGTGATAAAAGAAATAAATGTGTGTTTGGTCAATTTTTTTTTTTGTCATAATGTTTTATTGATGCATGTTGTACATTAAAAAAAATGTTGCAGTAACTGGTTTCTCTAAATTGTTGTTAGCAATTAGCTTTAAGTTGCTCCATGACAGACAGGCGACCTGACCGAGGGTGATAAATTGTCGCACCCGATAGATGGATGTTCTTTTTTTATTCAAACTGTGTTAAAACTGTGACATAAATGCTTTCGCACACCAAATCCTTGCAATTAATAAAAACATGGTTCTGCACGTGACTCTTACTTTGCATAGTCTGAAGAAACAAAGTATACAGACAATTGAATTCATTATTCATTTAACAAATAGGGTCATGGAAGAATCATCTGCAGCCACAGCAGGTCGATGCCTCGGTTACACACTGCTGTGGCGTCCCACTCCTCAACCAGCCTGAACCAAACACCCAAAACGTCTCCACAGATGTTCAGTGGGGTTAGTAATCAAGCAGTAACCCGAGTACTAAGAAAACACTCCTGGAAGCAAGTGTCTGAAATCTGCTCCAAGAGAGAATTAGAGAGCAAGAGTCAAACATCAAGACACTCAAACAGAAACAGTGTGACATGGAAATGACAGAGAAAAACAACAACAGAACAAATAAAAAAATCTGGAACGATTTATGAGTGTTTTCACACTAAACGCTACCAGCGACAGAGGTAGAAACACGGCAACCTCAAGGCAATAAATATTTGCCTATTTAAATATTTAAAGTGACAGAAGCATAAACTGTAACCTGACCGAGAAACAAACAGTTCCCTTCCAAAGCAAACTGGAAGGAGTAGTTATTTGTCACTTTCTGCAGCTACGGGAGTTTTATACCTTACGTCTAATCAGAAGTTCGATATCGACTGATTAAATGTGAGATGTAAAAAGAATCGTTGTGCATTGAATGCATGGTTTGTCTGAAGTCCAGGGTGTAATTCAAGCTTTGTAGAAATCTGAACCAGATTACCAGCAACTTTGAGATTATATAACACATCCGTCCTCTTGCTAGATATTTATCCAAATAAAAATGTAATGAAAAGGTTTCATTGCAAGGTTTTCCACTTGAGGAAAAAGACCTTTTCTTCTGTCCAGTTTGACGGAAAATTTTATTAATTAAGCACCAAAAATGCCGAGCTGATTGTCACCTTGAAATACAACTTTTTTGTCTACAGCTCTCGTGGAACAGAGAAGCTCTTCCATTTCAGTTCCACTTCTCAGACGAGACGTGCAAGAAGTGGACCATAACGAGTCGATGTAAGTAAAGCAAGTAAAATTCAAGAAATTCTTTTCGAACCCAGTGAAAGCAGGAAAACAAGTCATCAACCTAGCATTATATTAATCTTATTTACAGAACTGTTTTTTTTCTCTGGTTTGTTTCAAAGCTTAATGAGGGTTCTGCCAATTCACAACTGTTGTAAATGCAACTGGATGAGTTTCTCATGAACGCATCTTAGATGTTCGGTTGAAGTGTAAAGTTCAGAGCTTGAGATCTTGCTTTGTGTGTTCGCTACACTCTCTAATAAACTTTTGTGGCCTTCGCAGAACATAGATTTTTTTTACAAACTAAGCTTTTTTTTTCATACGCAGCTGCATTATTTACTAATTAGATGACGTCTGGAGGCACTTAGTGGCGCCAGATTTTATTTACGGGTATCAGAGTCAAGGCAATGGAATGCAAGTGCAAACCCCGCTTCTCGTAATCTCGTTTGCAAAAACATCCCCATCTCCCTTGCCTTCCGCTGTTGGTCTTGCTCGTAAAAACCCCAAATAAATGTGCTGAAGTTTGCGGTTTTAATGTGACAAAATGGGGAGAAAGTTCAAATGACATGATTAGTTTTTGCAAAGTCACGGTATGCCAAGCAAGAATCAGAGGAGAGAAAGTTTTCCACAGAAAAGGAGAATGTTATGCAAGTGGAGGACCAGAGAACTGAGACCAATTAGATCCAGGTGTCGGTTCTTAGCGTAATGACGTGCTGAAAATCCACCCACAAAAACAGACAGAGGTTTTCGTCCACCGCACTTTCATTACTTTTTTTTTTTCTTTAAAGTAATTCTCCCTCTTTTCCAAAAACTCTTCCAGAGATTTAGCAAGTTAGAACAAGAATAAAGGCTCAATGGTCAGAATCACCATTCAGAAGGCTCACACATATGGGATCAATTGCACTTGCTTGAAAACCCGATGGTGAATATTTTTACTTGTCAAAAAAAAAAACAGACAGGAAGAAGAAATGTTTGCCTCCAGTGTTCTGCAAGTCTGCCTCTGCCGTTTTTATGTCCGTTCTCCGTCAGAATTTCCGAAGCCTGGCTCGCAGGCTGCGGATTAATTTATTCATATTGAGGAGCAGCGTCTGGGCTGCGGACCTGCCAAAGATGATTTTCACATTTTTCCATAAAGCTTCGTCTCCATGTCGAAGATTTTTCCATAAACAGCCCCGCAAACTTGGTTTTTTTTTTTTTTTGATTTCCAAGCAGAACTAATGACCGTTTGTGGACTCGCAGGTAGACTCAAACTGTTTTAGAAAACTTCTAGGCGAAAGGAAAGAGAAACTTTTTTTCTTTTAAACTATTCAATATCTATTGCTACACCTAAGCCCGATTGTTTGAGTTTAGTGTTTTTTGATGATGATCCCCTTTCCGTTCCCACTGATCACGCCCTGACTCCCGTTCGTTGAGCCTCCCATCTTCCCCTCCTCTTTCTCCTTCTGTCTCTCCATCAATACCCGTCACTCCTCCCCCTCTCCTTCTTTCTCTCTGATTTTCTCCAGAGACTTTCAGTTTTTGAACACCACATTGTTCTTTCCTCCCGGCCCTCCGCTCAAGTAAAAAAAAACAAAAAAAACAGAAGCACAGGTAAGCTTGCATGGATTTGAGATTTCCTCTTTGAATATTCCATTTTATATCCGTTTTCCGGATGGAAGTGCTGGGGCTGCAGGGCACAGGCTGCAACACAGAAGGCAAAAATCATTTCTGCATGAAAAATGACTTGAAAGTTTGATGGTTTTGCATTTTGACAGCTTAGTGTGAAATGAACATGTTTCTATGTTTTCACAATGCTTTTGTTTGGCTTTGAAGAGTATTTCCTCATCCTTGGATCCAGAGTCTCTGCTGCATTTCCACTGGGTCTGAAATCAATCAGCCTAGAAATACATGATCTGCAAACCTGATTTTGTACATCTGCCATGTAATAAAACGCTTTTTTGTTGTTGCTGACAGCCTTTAACGTTGAGCCCCAGTACTGTTTTCAGAGTAGCAAAGAAACGTTACCCATTTGCAGTTTGTTCATTTCTGGAACATTCTGGATTTGTCTGGTTTTATTTGGGCTTTAGATGTAATTACTTTATAACGGTGTTCGAAGACTACGACTCCCTCGTCTGCTTTACATGGAGTCATATGTCAAAATACATTGAAGTGGGTGTGGCCACCGCGTATGTTGTGCAGGCTTCACAGCTTTTTTCATCACCTACAAAGTGTTTACGTCTTTATTTCCCTGCTGTTTTTAACTTTCATTGTTAATACATGAGTTCTAAAAAAACAACAAAAAAAACAAAGGTACTTTTTTATTTAAAAAAAGAATATTTTTCCTGCTTTACTTCCTTCTACAGATGCTTCTCGAATTAGAACATGAAAAAAAGTGTCTCAATAATTGAATTAAGGTGAAATATTGAGTATCATTACTCAGTAATGTTTTGTTGTTACTTTTAATTAGCTAAAAGCTAACGAAAACCCAAAATTAAGGGGGGTTTTTTATATTAGAATATTACATAATGCTAAGATTGCGCAAAAATGATGGCCTAGGTTTTTTTTTTTTTTTTTTTTTTTGCCAATAGGTGATTTAGGCAAAAAAAAAAAGTCATTATAAAAAAAATTACTTTTCTCATAAGTTTTTTTTTTATTAATGCTTGGAATATGTAACTGTGTAACGATTATTAGCCTCATACACCAAACTGAATGCCAATTTTTTTTTTGTTTCCTTAAAATTGTTATTCATCTGTAGAAAAGATGTTTCAATGAACGTTATTTATCTTTCACTTTTCCTGTTTTTAACTTGTGTAACCTTATTGTGTTTTTTTTTGCCAGCTTCTCTTTTTCTTTCCCTGTCCACAGAAGCCATGTTTCCTCTCCATGTCACCCTCTTGGTACTACTGGCCAACATCGCTCGGTGCCAGTATTACGACTATGACTACCAGCCATTTTCCATGCTTGGGCCATCAGGGCCAAACTGCAACAAAGAATGTGATTGCCCAATCAGTTTCCCAAGTGCAATGTATTGCGATAGCCGCAAGCTAAAGTTCGTCCCTGTAGTTCCCACTGGGATCAAGTACCTGTACCTGCAGAACAACTTGATTGAAGAGATCAAGGCAGGAGTTTTTGATAACGTCACCGACACCCTGCGCTGGCTGGTGCTCGACAACAACCAGATCACCAACGCCAAGATAGAGAAAGGCACGATTGATAAACTGACGGCCCTGGAGAAGCTATTCTTCAGCTTCAACCAGATCACAGAGGCGGTCATTCCTCCCTCGAAGTCCCTCGAAGAGCTGAAGATGACGAACAACAAGTTGTCCAAGTTCCCGTCCGGACTCTTGAACGACAAGGAGAATTTGACCTCCGTCAGCCTCCAGCACAACGAGCTGACCACTGAAGGCATCGCAGACGCGTTCAAAGGCCCCAAGAAGCTGCTGTCGTTGGACTTGAGCCACAACAAGCTGAAGAAGCTGCCGGCCGGAGTCCCGAGCTCGCTGGAAATTCTCTACGCTGATTTTAACGAGATCGATAAAATCGGAGCAGGGTACCTGAAGAAGCTGCCCACCCTGCGGTACCTGAGGGTCTCCCACAACAAGCTCCAGGACTCTGGGATTCCTGCCGGGGTGTTCAATGTGACTTCGCTCTTGGAGCTGGATCTGTCGTTCAACAAACTTCAGTCGATCCCTGAGATCAACGAGCAGCTGGAGCAGCTCTACCTTCAGGCCAATGAGATCAACAGTAAGTTTATGCTCTGCATATGAAGATATGACGAGACATCTTAATAAACTTCATTTTAGATATTAGTCAATTAGTCTGACCTCCAGCAGAGCCTGTCTGAATGTGAGCTGCCATCTTACACCAGATTATTTAGTCATTTTATTTTCCTGCAAAGAGTTAAAAAAAAAAAAAACACCTTTTGAGATCTCCCTCCTTCCCCCCAAAATAAAAAGGTTTTTGTTTCTGTTGGTTATTAGGACAGTCATGTGTAGCATTTGAGTAAAGTGGAAATGACAAGAACTTGACAGAACGGATCGGCGTTGGTCATTTTGACCTTTTGCCGTATCACTTGTTTCATAACCAACTTTTTCACACATGAAAACAATATTTTGCTCCAACTCTCCATCAATCAGAACGCATCACTGGAATTAACTGTAAGAAAATGAAAATGTGGGATCAGCATGATCACAAGTCTTAATCTTTCATATTTCCAGGAGTCAACTGTCCCAAGTAATGATCAAAATCAGAATCGACAGAAATAAAATTATATGTAATTCAATTATTCTGTATGTGAGACAATAATTCATCAAAATATTAAATAAATACATATATCATGATTAAGATTATGGATGCAAATATGTTGATTACAGGTCAAAAATGTAGGTATGCTGGGACAAAATTAATCTACTTATGTACCAAATAGTGGTCCAAATCGACAAAGGGGGGGAATTAACCCAAAGTCAAAAAGGAAATCTCAATTAATCTGAGATTTAAGATGGTCGAATATTTAAAGTAAATATTCCGAAACACATCACAAAGCTTACAATAGGTCATAACATCATTTAAAGGATGCAGTGGATGGCGAGAATCAAATGTAAAGCTTGGGAGGACTCTAACCTTCACCACCTGTTTTCTGTTACCCACAGAGTTCGATCTGGCGAGTTTCTGCAAGTTTACAGGACCGCTGAACTATTCACGTCTCAGACATCTGCGTCTGGACGCCAACAACGTCACGCACACCGACATGCCCCCCGAGTCCGCAAACTGCCTGCGTCAAGCTTCGGACATCATGTTTGAATGAGAACCTCCCCGCCGCCCCCCGTCCGGTCCAAGAGTCCACCATCTGCTGCCATGACAACGTCAACCCAAAGCCCTCGTGGATCAAGATCCCTCATACGTCTGTGCACTCACTGCAAGCATTTAGCAAATATGAAATATTGCTCTCATCTCCATTTGTCTGCTGTCATAATTTTACTTTTCTTTCAAAACACACATTCGCAGAAGAAAATGTGGGATTTCATTGGAAACACAGTAAAGCAGGAGACAAATTAAACATTCCAGCTTTGTATATAAATATGCCAATCATAAAACCCATTGGAATGTCTTACTTCCTTGAATATCATAATTTAGCTATAAAGTAATTTTGTAATCTGTCTTGTATGTTCCATGTTTGTATGTTAATGATATGTAGCACAATCCAGATAGACGTCCTCAGATTTCAGAGTGTAATGTAAGCAAATGTGAAATAGCTGAGCTGATTCATAGCAGCCATATTTTAGCATCTTGAATGTATCAAAGTGGACAAAAAGGAAAAACACCGGAGTTGTGAACTCACAACTGCCTGCTTTAAATTTGACTTTTTTTTTTCTTCATATTAACAGCGTAAAAGACCCACAATTGTTTTGTTTTGATAAACGAAATGCCTTCTGCACAAGAAAATAACTTTTTGAAGCAAGCAATAAGTAATATGCATTGCTATTGTGCTTAAAGTTTCATACTTTGTATTCTTGTAATAGGAAATAAAAGTTCAATAACTCATATCTGGAGTCATTTTTTGCATTCAGTGCAAGTTATTATGTACCACACTGATTAGTTTACTTTCACAGCATTTGCAGTTTTTAGCCACAATAAATGCAGTTACGTCAGTATTATATTTATGTGGTAAAATTAGGATATTTCCAGGGGTTTTTATGTTGTGCCTGATCCTGCATGTAGATTAAAACAATAAGAAAACCGAGTACTGTTATCAGAAGATAAAAATATCAAAATACAATAAAACACATGCAGCAAGATTTGTGCTGAAGCTGTGAAAATTGGAAAAAGTGTTTCAAATTTTAAAAAAATCCAAATTTAAACATTCCTAATTCTCAAAAAGTTACACAATTATTTTGAAACTCCCAAAGTTACGGGGCCTGTCTTCAGCCAAAAAAAAAAAAAATCAAACGGTATCTCGGAAATAATTCCAAGGATGCAAAAATATCTTCTTGATAACCATGATGTCATAAAATGTTTGAGGCTTTGACTTAATTCATCCACAAATATAAATTAGCCATTCAAAGGCTTAGAAAGGCATCATGACCTGGGTTCCACCAAACTGTTCAAACAGATCGCAATCTCAGTGCAAATAGGTTTCAGACTTTAAAGAAAGTCAAAGTCTCTCATTATAATGACATTTAGTAAATGCAAATAATTTAGCAAGTTACAAAATTAACTTGGAAAAGTTAATTTTCCAAGTTAATTTGACATAAAACAGGAACAATTTTAGTCTGATTTAATGTCAAACTAGGAAAAGTCTGATTTGCATCTCTTCATATAGAATGAAAATTTATTTCACCTTTAGTTTTCACTTAGGATATGATCCCTATTTGCTTGGCTTGAGGTAAAGACTCCCCTTTATGCTAAATGAATTTTAACAATACTAAATGGTTGAACAACAAAAAACTATCCCTAGGCGGAGCCCATACATCTCATCCCAACTCACTTAAAATGAAATTTAGCCGCTATGAAGTGAAGCGCTTACACCACTTTCTTATGAAATGAATCTGCATTAACTATTTCTGCTGTTGTAGAAGAGTAGAAAAGATAAAAATAAAAAAATGTGCGTTCTCCACACTCCCATAACCATCTTACGTCGTGTTACAAGTTTGCTCCAACAACTGCTTCTATATTTCACGTTTTCATACAGTCATTTTCACTGATTCTAAATCTAGGACAATTTCCTCCTTCACGCTCTGCTGTTGCTCTTATTTAAAATCCAGGAGGAAAGCTCCTGCTGTCTGTGTCTAGACAATAAAGTCCTTCATGAAGCGGTAAGCCTCAAATCTTCCCACTTCAGACGGTGAGTGAACGTACAATCAGCTTTTGCCGTTCGCCGGCCGCCGAAGTTTATCCTCCAGTCCAGACCATCTCCAGCTGGTCTCCCTGTTTGCACTCGTTTTCTGCATCCATCCATCATCTCCCTCATCTGTTCTCCATCTCCTTTTTCAGATTTCGGGTTAGGGTAACTTTCACTTTTTTCTTCTGTCGTCTTGTAATGTTTTCTGAAACATTTACTTCTTTTATTTTGTTTTGTTTTATTTTGTTACATTTTAAATGTTCGCATTTGCTTAGTTTCTAATTAGAAAGCTAAAAGATTTGTACTAAAAAAAAAACCCAAAAAAGGTAGCTGTTAGAATCTGGGGAATGTAAAAAGGCTGTTTTACAACACGTCCCATTAAGATGTGAAAAGTCTTAAAATAAATGATGATTATGGAGAATTTCTCTGCTACAGATGAGCTCTGGAGATTTTATTTACCTTCCTTACAGTCCTATTTTTTTGTAAATTTTAGCAAATTTGGTTCTTTTATCATCATCTTTTATCCAAGTTTAATCTTTTTGGTTATTGTCAAAAAGATTAAATGACCAGATCATTGTATTTTCTTAGATTTTCCACACAAATCTATTCCTTTTTGTTTGAATTTTACAGGGTATAACTGAATTTTGAAAAAAGTTGAAATGGTTTGTCTATGTTTTCGAAATAAAACAAAGCATTTATCAAGTTAACAAAAGTCTCTTAACAAGGCATTTTGTTCTAAGCTGATGCAAAAGTTGCCAAAACCTCACAGTTTTAGCTTCCATTAAGAACAACCAAACAGTCATTTAAAGTTTCTGCAAGGGAAGAAGAGTCCTGTCTGAACAATGTATTTGACAAAAATGCTTTCTACTTGAGGATTTGGGGGTAGAAATATTAGCCTTGGGTTGTAGCAAAAGAGGGGCAGGTAACTCCTCTGCAACCTCACCTGTCAGCTTAGTATTACACCCCAAGGCCTGTTCACTAAAACCGAGCCATAAACTGGTCTTGTACTCATTCCCAGTTATGAGTCAAAAGCAAATCCTCCATTTAAAAAAAAAAAAAATGGTTTAGTTGGGTGGGGTTCCAGCACTTTATGGCTCTGAAGCCAACTGAAGATTTTAGAATAAAAAGTTGAAAGAGGTGGGAGAAAAACTGCTGGGCTGGCAGAAAATGTTAAGTGACAATTTCTGAAGGGACATCCCAGCTCGCAGTCGTCCTCCCACCGACGAGACTTGCTCTAACCACTCGGTTCAACCGGTGTGCAAGGTGTTGCATGAAGATCTAACAGCAACTGAGGTCCAATCAGTGTCTGCTGTGAGAGAGGACAATCATCACTGTGAGATTCTGGAGAGGTGCGTTAGCCAAACCTCACCTGTCTGCAAACACTTCGTCTGGAAAAGTAGGTAATAATGTTAGTTTTCTTATTTTGTGATAAGTCTTGTGAGTTGTTGTGGTTAAATTTGTATAACGGTGGAACTAATGTAAATTTTTGTTTTGGCTTTTATCGTCTGACCTTTCATGCCAAAACTCTACAATAAAATCTCTTGACTAGTTTTGAAATCTAAATCTTACGTGTTTTGTTGTTGTTGTTTTTTACATATTGGAAAAACAGCAACATTCAACTTGGCTCCACTTTTTAAACCTACTATTGTGATTTTATTTCCAAACAACATGTGTCAGTGAAATCCACCCCTATGCAATAATTACCCATAAACTGGGTTAACTTCTCTCAACTCTAGATGTAACGATCCTGCTGACAAACTCCCACAGTTTTAAAACACAGGAAAACTGGATGCAGTTCTGCAAACTCATACTGTGCACATGAAGGCTGCTGTGTAATTATAATAGCTGGCTCAGTGTAAAAGATCCTGGCAGGAAATTAGTACTATGAGAATCCTCAGCATGTGTTTCTCTTTAGTTCTCTCAGGCACGATGTTGCAAGTATTTGTTTTCAGTAAATATGCGTTTCATTTTACAGACATAGTAAAGCTGTGACTCACTGTTCAGCAGCAAATCTTGCACACAAGGTTGTTTTTTAAAATGCATTTTACTTTTTTCTCAGACATGGCATCAGTTCTTGGTCGTTTTTGCACATTCCTGACATCCTGCTGAGCTTAAAACTTACAGGACGGAGGAGTTGCATCAAGCTAACCTTTAGCAGTGATGCTTTATAAAGTAGATAGATTAATTAGAAGAGCTGTTGTTCAAGAATATATCAAAAATCTTCTTAGTAAGACTCTTCTTTTCACTCATGTAGAGTGGGAAGAATCCCTGTAGAGTTGTTTACAGTATAAAATGTGTTGTGTTTTTTCCAAACAAAATCCAGTTTTAGATTATTTATCCATTATGCAATCTTCCAAATTTGTGTAGATCAATTACCAATGCACACAAATACACCCTGGGGCGAAGTGGAGAAACTCTAATGGGCTTGTACTGCTGATCAAGGATAAGTGTTGCTCCTATCCTCACAGGTTGGCAGGGATTATCTCGCATTTGATCCTTTGCCGTCATCGTCAGAAATTAGCACAGTCTCACGCCTGCATGTTAAAAGGCCATTAAGCTTGATGTTAACTCAGCTCTGCAAAAGAATTTGCATTTTATGCCCGAAGCAAAATCTCGTAAACTTAATTATGACGTCAGTCCAGTAAAACCGTTACCTCTTGCGCCAGCAGCTAATGTGTTCAACTTGGACTTTTTTTCATTTCCGTGCTTGATGTTATATTAGCTCATCTGGGCAAGATAAAACACATCCCAACCCCAGAAAACCTGAAATCCTTGAAAAATTAATATCAAATATCAAATTGAATTCACTTCACAAGACAAACTGTTCAAAATGATATCAATTATATAGAATTTAGTCAAATCAATCCAGCATATTTTAACAAATTCGGTTCTATTTAGGTCAATTTAGATCCAGTTACATGAACATTCCAGTTCAATTTAAATCACTGCATGCCAACTGGTAAAATGTTACACAACATTGGGATCCCAACTGGCTCTAGCTTCGCAGCAGGCGGGATCCAGTCCATTTAAACAGGAAGAAACCTCCAGCAGAACCGGGCTCAGTATGACGAGCTGTTTGCTGAAACCGACTGGGAGTCAAAAGGATAGGAAGCATTTTCAAGTATTGCACTCTACTGCAAGAGTAAAGTGCAGTAACAGTTCAGCCTATTGCTTAATTCGTGAAAGAAACACTGGGTCAGGAACACTTCGGGAAAAGGAAAAACAAAGAATATACAGTTTTTGGCAA